TATTAGTAATGCTATTTAATAATGCTAGAGGAATGGCTCTAGTGACAGAAAAGTCATTCTGTAAATTGGTCCATACTGAGATATCTCAACAACCAAGGGAAGAATTACCTATTACATTTTTACTACAGTATCTTCTTCTTCTAGGGGATGGCCACAGAACAGGGAAGACATACTGTCTTTGTTGGTTCCCTGACTTCTACTCTAGCACCACTGTGAGGGTGAACTGAAATATCTCCACACCTATTGGACTGATTACCATGAAAATTGGTACAGATATATTTTGCTTTTCTCTAATCACCATCATCAGGTCAAAAGTTGAGTTAGTCCAAAAGTTGTGCCTATGGAAAATAATTGTAAAACTAATGGCAATCTCATCAACCTCAGCTGTACTCAGCATTTTGGTGCTAGATAGATTAGCATGCTAACACACTAAACTATGATGGCAACTAGATAAAACAGTATCGACTGATTTCATGATTCTTGAAAAACACAGTATTTGTGCATGGCCAGTTATTCATAAGACCTACATGATTGGCTGGGCATTATATATAGATTTTAATGTGATGTTATGCTGCATCTCCACTATCAACCCACATGTATGTTAGAGTGGTAAGTGAGAGCGACCTGTAACCGTCAGTCATTTTGTTTATTATCTGAACCTGACTAGAGCACAATGCAGTTACAATGTTAGCTGAAGCACTGAGTTTGTGTTACCCTGTCACACAGTTGTTGTTCCAGTGGTCACATTTTGCCTGTTTTACATGACTGCAGGTGGGCATTTTGTAAATTTGTGTTTAAAAGCATTGTTTTAGGCTGTAGGTACAGCTGCAAAGATGTTGGGTTAGTGAAGGCTGGTGCAGCCAGCATTTTCTTCTCCAACAGAGGAAATAATTCATGACGAGCTCGAAACTGAAAAAGACCTGTCAAGCCATTGGTCACAGATTATGAGCTCGAAAAGACTGAAGTGTGAAGAATGTTAAATGTCAGAGGAAATTATTATGCGAGAGGGATGAGACTGAGAGATGGATCGACATGCCACAGGAACTCAGTCAGCAGACTAGTGAGCACAGTGAGCTGTCTATAGTTGTACAACTGAACAAAGGTTTTGCTAAGCAGCCAAATGCTGTTACATTTACAGATGGCTACAAGAGAAAATTGCAGTTCAAATCCATTCACATTCTCATAAGCTGCATCAGCAAATGTGAATGTACAGCGTTCAGTGCGATGACTCACCAAAACTTGAAGGATTACTTAAAGTCATAGAGTTCACTTTCTCAATGAGCATATTTTTACATCTTTGTTCTTGCTATGTAATAATAATAATGGTGAAAAGATGTGAAAATGTACATTTTCACAATGCCTCCACCATATAATCTATGATGATTCTATATTTTAAAAAATATGAAATAATTAATAATCTATAAATATATACCACATTAAAGCATCAAGTAGGATTAACCCATTCTTATAAATGGTTCTGAAATCAAATGTTTGCTTTCTATTGTTGTCCCGACATAACCAAGCCAGACCCAAATCTCATTTCTAAAATCTATCCCTGTGATGTAGGTGACCACACTATCAGCATGAATTCCTTCCACTAAGAGTCAGAGCAGATAACCAGACGGCCATCACATTGGACCCCCTGACCTGACTCCCATTAACCCAGACACAAGCTCAGTGAGACAGAGAGAAAAAAAAGATCACAATCATTACCCTCTATCAGCACTATCTTCATCTCCCATCACTCATGTCTGGCCAGGCTGGGAAATATCACTTGCTCATTCTCTCTCGCTCTCTTGCTTTCCCTCTCACCTTCGCATGACTCCGTAAAATCTGACCAGGTGGTGAGGTGAATGCCATTACACTGGGCAAACTCCTCAATCTGCCCTCCTCCCCTCAGTCCTCTGTATCAGCAGTAAATCCTCATCTTGTTGCAGCTGTTACAGCTATCTGGTGTGTGGTCTGACTTGTGGGTTTTAGAGGATTGATAATAGACAGGTCCCTACACTACAAGTTGATGTGTGTGCAGGTGTGTGTGAATGTGCAGAACTACACATACAGTATGCTGTCAGTAGACTGATATGTCAACTGGCCTCCAATACATTCATCAAGCATAGACGTTGCACTTTCGCCATACTGTGTATGCACAGGATCAAAAAACATTTCATCTAGTGAAAACATAAAATGGCAAAGGCAATTAATTTGATGTATAGTTTACATATTCATTCATTAATTTATTTACAGTTAAAATAATTGTACAACAAACAAAAACCTGCAACATCAGAATATATAGGTATCCAAATGTAATGATTGAAATGAATAACAGTAACAGAATAATGAAATATGTGTTCTTTGTTAAACCCCCACACAACAGAAGGCAGACCATTATGTGTCGCTTTACTTTGAACAGACGTGCTCTTGTTCTGCTCCTCAGTGACCCCACTTAACCAACTAAAAGTCAATGCTAATGAACAGGCAGATGGCAGCACTTGTTGACTTAGCATATAAGTTGTTTGACTTCTGACCCCACTCAAGTGTAAATGAAAGTCTCTGTAAGAGGTTGGTAGTGAGTGTTAATGGAGAAAGTTGTTTTACTTTTTTATTTGCTACAAGATATACTGTATGGGGACAAGTATTCTGACCACAATCACCCCTATCTCAAACTAAGATTCATATCCATTTAAACAGAAGATTCTGTTCAGTTCAGTGTGTGAATCTCAATGTTGCCTTTGCACTGAAACGCCTTGTTATTACAACTTGATACTATGTCAGGTAACTTTCTAAATCTTTGTGGTGTTACTTACAAATATGCGTAAATCAAATGACTACTGAAGAATCCGCAGGAAGTGGATTCATAAAATGAAAGCTGATAAAGTGACAATTCCAGAAATCACCTCATCAACAAATGTAATACCTTCATTACATCAATATGCATCCAATCACCACAGCAAGAGTTAATGGATGGAACTGATGAACTAGTCATTTCCACTGAATTACACCTATAACTGTTTTTTTCCCTCCACTCCCCATAAATATCACACTGACAGTAAATTACCGCATTAAACATTGAAACATTCTGCGTTACAAAGATGTAATGAATTCACAAATGACTGTGTAATGAGGTAAGGAGGTTTAATTTATGACATTGATTTGAGCAGTGATACTAATTAAATGTGACGTTCGTCAATCTAGCTTGTTGAGTGATTGGTGTTCTGCTACATGTCAGTGAAGCAGAGGTGAAATGAGAGACAGGAAATGGAAAACCTACGTACAGATTGATGAGTGGAAGATCATTGCTTTGACAGGTTTTTAACATGAAGCAGATCTCTGTGTCCAACTGAAATGTGTGATGTATCTGTAGTCTACACCTGGAGACTGTGTGTACATACGCAGAGACAGACAACAGACAAGCTCATATAAAACAGTCCACTGTGACGCAAATGCGATGATTACACAACTGCAGTTATTGCCTAGTGCACACATTTTTCATCCCACCATTTATAATTAGATTGATTTAGAATCGATCAAATTAAAGAATTTCCCTGTCCAATCGGCTAATTGGATTGACTGTTAATGGCTGCTTAAAAAACGTCAAGTTTAATTTCACACATATTGACCTGCAGTTGATGTGGATGACATTAATCTAATGATTATTTGTAAGACTCCCCTATTATCGTTTCTTTCCCTCCCTCGCTCTTTCTCAACCGGCACGTCATTAAGCTGAAGCACAACCATTACCCAGCAGACAACATTTTCCTGATGATTTACTACCCACAGTTCAAATGAAGGGCCAATAGTGTTACACTGGATGACTACTATATTTGTAAAGTAAATACATGTTTGTTTCCATGGCTCAAGGTTTGGAAAAAAATCCTTCCTCAAAGGGATAGTTCACACAAAAATCTGAATTCACATTATCTACTCACCACTATGCCGATGGAGGGGTGGGTGAAGTGTTCGAGTCCACAAAACACTTCTTGAGTTTCAGGGGTAAACAGCATTGCAGCCAAATCCAATACAATTGAAGTTAATACGAGCCCTTCTTCAGACGTTAGAAAAACAACAGAATAAACATGCCTCCATACTGCTCCTGTGGTGTCGTCCAAGTGTCTTCAAGCCCCAATATTCATATTCTGAGACTCTTCAAGTGTTTTGTGGACTCAAACACTTTACCTGAACCTCCATTGGCTTAGTGGTGAGTGGATAATGATGAACTATCCCTCTAAGCTATCGGCAAAACTTAATCTCTGCCTACTGAGGTATCAACATTTTAAAAAGAATCATGAGTTCACATGGTCAGTCCATTATTGTAATAACTCAATGAGAGTCTCGTTCTTAGGAAATGAGGCTGTGGAGGAGCTCAGAGAACCTCCAGGTGAACCAGGGAGAGTTGATTGGCACAGCTCAGAGTAGTTGGAAAATAAACTCTCCGTGGATTCATAAGGCACAGAAGAGCTGCCACACAGGAGAGAGACACACGGAGAGACTAAAAGAGACGCACTCGAGAGAAGCTCATGAGAGACAGAGCTGAGCCGAGCTGCCGCGACACCAGCAGAAATGGCTGGATTTATGTTTGGATTTAAATAATGTTTGCACCTTGTCTGAAACATGATCTTGTTCAGTCTGGTTTAGATTAAACGTACGGTCAGTAAATTGTCCGTATGCTGTAAATGAACAAATCAAGTGTGCACAAAAGAAGGAAACTCACTCACTCAAGCTCTCGTATTTTTCAATCCCCCAAAACATCGTCATTAATTCACACGCCAAGTGTGTCCCACATTCTCCCATAACACTATATTCACAACCCAACCCTAAGGAGACGGAATATTCATCGAAGATTTTCGGGTAGCAGCATTGAACTTTATCCAGCTCTAAATCTGTAAGTGATGTGCTGCCAGATTAGATTTGTTTAGTACTTAATAGCACTGAATTTAAAAAAAAAAAAACAGGATGAAAAATATCTATGTTGCATGACTTGAATGGGCTGGGATTCTACTCACGGGTTGTTGACCTGCAGACGTGCACCCCCTCAGCCACAGCCAATAAACAGTCGATCATCCAGAGTGAGGTGAGAATACTTTGTGATCATCCCACCTGGTTGATCTGCAATGAAGATTTTATAGTCAATGTTTTTGATAAAATGAAACAGAATGTGCTTAATACCAGTTCACGTGTGTCTTTTATAAAAGTTTGACTGACTTACACAGTTTTTCAGAGGTCTGTTGAGCAATCAACACAATATTCAGACCCAAGTTCACAACTTTTTAAAATAAAACCTCTCTCAAATAGTTGTAAAGCAAACAAATCAAACATTGTGCTTTTACTTTGTAGACAACTTGCTTAAGAGAAACTGATTTTATGAATGCAGCTGCCATGTTGGAGATCAACAACTAATCGAAATGGTCTGGCAGGCCAGATAATACTGGCTGCGGGCCACCTGTTGCTGCTGCTGTGGGTTATCCAAGAACATAGAAAAAGATTAAACTGTCAGTGCAACAGACTGACAGCACACTGCCCCGTCCTCACTGACTACTGGTCGCCTGCTTATTCAAATATTATCAATATTAAGGGTATCACGTGTCCAAATCACAGAAAATCCAATACTTCCTCAGGCAATTTAAAAATACACATGCCAAGTTTGAAGCTGATAAGATGAACTCTTCTCGACATATGCGTTCCACATTCAGACAGAAGTTTTGGAATTAGTTGGTAGATTATCTCATTACTCTTTGACTCTGCACTAAGGTGCTCATAGTGTTCAACAAACCATGTGTTTATTTTTCTGGAAAACTTCTCTATCTCCCCTTCTCACATTACCGAGAAAGTTAATATTGCTCAAACTGCGACACTTTGAAATGCACAGATGGGGGATATGCAGGTGCTGATGCGTAGGCACCAAGAGTGTGTTGTGCTGGCTTAGAGATGCAACAAGAGCCTGCAGGGAGTTTATCAGATTGAGGTGCTTCAACATGTAAACTCAGGGTCCCTGGAGGTGTGAGGGATCAGGTTTGGGAAAGGTTTCCTTTGGTCTCCTGAGGCCAGTATAGCCTGGAGAAAATTGGCTTTCTGAACAAAACGCTGTGCAGTGAGAGATAGGAAGCATTAGCGCAAGAAAAAAAAAATCCTGAGAGTAAGGCAGAGAAAAAGAGACAAACAATTCTATGTGTTCACACTGCAGAAAATGTCCATAACGATTTATTTTCAAAGTGGTTGGTTATTAAATTCTAATTTTTCATGAAATAAGTAGGACACTATCAACAAGGTTCAATAACTCCACTTCATTCCAAACCAAATCAGCTCTTTTCAAGAATATTTTTGGGTCAAGTGATATTCATCTGAAAACAGCCTTAATTCAGAAGTAACTTGCACTAGTGGAGATAAATGCAATTATGACACTCCATTGGCAAATTCTGGCTCACTCGTTTAAAATATGAATGAATTAAAGAGAGCTGATGTGAGAGTAAATGATTTAAGATGACTATTTAATACAGTGTCAACATCTTGCAAAGCCTGTGCTATGTCTGAAAAAGAGAGGAATGCTATGCATGATAATATTGGAGAAATGTGCTGCGCAATCATCTGCAGTTTACAATTTAAAAGCCTTCACACTCTCCTCCACAACCTCAGGCTGCATCACATCAATCTAATCTTCCCATGCAGACACACCTGCAGTCAACACTTTACACCTGTACATACACTTCATGCACATGCACAGTGTGGGTTAAAACACAACTGTGTATGACACAACAATGCTATTTTTCTAATTACTGAGCCCCACACCAAATATGAGATTTCAAAACAACAGCTGTTTTATATTACAGGGGAGAAAGGAGAGGAATAATAATCTCAGAGAAGTCTCTGGGCTGCAGCGCTTCAGAGGCGCGGAGGGTTTTTTGTGTTTTTATATGGGGGGAGTTTTATGGAACAGATGGACTTTTCTTGTCCTGAAGGAGTGAAAGGCCTGTTAGTTTTCATTCCACCCTCTAATACTTTAAATAAAGAGGATTAGTGGGCAGTAAGTGACCTGAGTGGGTGATCAAACAATAGGGTAATAATGGTCGTGCTCATTAGACAGAGGCACTAAATGTTTTTCACTGGAGTTCCAGGTAATACTCTGAGTATGTCAGAGAAAGACTGTAAAATTACAATACCTGTCATATGTGTTCAAGTGATTGAAGAACAGATAAATTGTTTTGTTTGCTGCAATTGCTAGAGCCAGGAACTAAAGCATGCTTTTTCAAACAATATAACATCTTATCAATGAAAGAATAATTTTCAAAACATATATACAGAAGAAGAAGTGGGAAAAAAAGCCTTGGAGGACTTAACTTTAACGTTATACTTTGATTTTTTCAGAAAGTGGGTTTTAATACACTTCCATATTAGCTCTGCTTAGTTTATTAAGATAACATTTTCAAATACAAAGCCTAAACTAGACTATCAATTCAAAACGTTTCACTTGTTTCAAAAGTCAATAACTTTTAGGTCATCTTGTATCAAAACATCACAGACGACAATAATTGTGTAACTGCATTTTACTTGTCGTTATGACTTCCATTTAGTAACCCAACAAAACATTTAAATACTGTTTTCTATCAACAGCAAACAGGATGGTATTGGTTTGGACGTTTGGACAAATGTATCGTCTGCCAGTGATTGGCTGATTCTGTAAATTACAGTGGCCTTGTAATAACATTAACTGTCTAAAATACTTTTTAGAGCACAAATCATGAGGCTAGTGTCAAGCAGTGATGAAAAAATAAATCATGTATAGTAATAAAATTCTTTGACGGAATCGAATCGTGAGGTGCCTCGAGATTCCCACACCTAATGCAGACACACACCGACCATCAAGAGACACATGTAAACTCAGACTAAGTAAGATGATTATTTGGTCTTCATGAACAAAAACTGACAGTCATATTTATTTGCACACGGAGCAGTGAAGTGAGATCCATGGCCACAGCTCTTCCATGTTTGCATTCACTGATATACTTGCCTATTATATATATATATACACACACATATACACACACACACAGTATATTTGCCTATTCGTATAGCGCCCTACCCTGGTATTCATCAAAATTCATGTGTTAGTGTTGACAAAGTCTACATTCAAGAGTTTCTCATTATGCACTTTGTACTTGCATCATGTACAAAAAAGTCTGAAGCCAATTAAGGACGATTTTAAAAATGCTCCAGTCGGTACTGTTGATTTACCATTTTTGTGACAATTGGATAAATTATTTTTTTATTCTAAAACATATACAGATCAGTCAGGAACATTTGCCATGATTCACCAATTTGTTGCAAATGGGGATACAATTATGATTGGCGCTGAAGGCTCCATTCTTTGGATGTTCCCTGGATTAGCTGAGCATCGCGCTGCAGAACCCCCCGGTGGGCATAGCAGTCAAGGTACGTTTGTTTCAAGATGAATATGGTTTGCCACGACCGTGTTTGGACTCGGGTCTAAAAGGTGGAGGCTGGGGTGGTGGCAAGTTGCCGGCAGCAGGCGTGGGTGGCAGTGTAGCTGAGCAGGGATCAGTGAGGATGAGGTCGTATTTAATGGGACCGCTTTGGTRAGAGAATGGGCTGTGATTGGTGGGTGACTGACGAGCACCCATAACCGTCGGTAGCTGACAGCTGAGCACGTGACTCCGTGTCCTGCATGAACTAACACAATGCTTCATTATTTAAAAGGAGGTTAGTAGTAGTTTTTAATACTTAAAATAACTGAAAATCCAACAAGAACACACAGTTTGTGCACTGACAGAACAGCTGTGTGGTGGTGAGAATGTACGCAGGATTGTAACTTCTGTTTTAAAGCTCAGGTTTCAAAAACATTACACAACAATTTATGCCATTTTTATTCAATTGGACACCTTTATACCCTTATCTAAAATATATTGTCTCCACCTCTACACTCAAACTCTACTAACAAGTTCTTTAATAACATTAGCTCTACTCTTACGTGGTGTACACAAACTGATGCATATAGTAACGCAAAACATATGAAAAATAGTGCTATCCATTTGCTCACAAAGACTTTCCCCCAGACTTTTAAAATCCAACGCTGACACAGTTTAATGTACGATGCTGTCATATACCCTTTTGAGTGTACTTTCTTATTTTGCAAAAGCTTCAACTCCTTGTTATTTTTCCATCTTATTTACACTCAGACCTATACGTCGTATAGCAATTAGTAACTGCAATAAGACACAATAAATGTAATAGACATTAAACATAATGTGACAGAGTTTGGAACACTCAACGTCGTGCCCATGGTGACATATCTACTAATAGACTGTAGATATTTGTACATAGATGTATGCATTACGGTGCATGCAAAAGCAACATAAATTACAAAACATACCATAAGAGAATCTACAGTGATTTGAGAATGTGATGGTTTCTTAGAAATCCTGATTTTTATTTGTGGATAATACCAAAGAAAGATTCAGAGTTGATCCTCTCTTCCAGTCTACGCTGTCCTCTGAGCTCTAATGAGATTCATCCATCCATCATTATTGTCAAGTAAATCCCATGAGAAAAACTCAGGCTTCTGCTCTGGTCCTGAATGACTGACACCTCCATACTCAACCGATGATGTCAAGGGTTTTCAGGATAGGAAAGGTTGTGATCACTTAGCTAGTTCTAAACACACACGTGCTTCCTCTAGTTTACAGAAATCGTTGCAGTGTTTAGACTGAACCTGTACTGACATAAATGGTCATGGGAGGAAGAAAAAGCAAGACCCTACAGGAAACTGGTTGGATTACATGGTCTTTTGACTGGGTAACAATCTCCATGTGTGTTTGTCTGCATGTGCTCTGAGCAGAGAATGGCAGGAAATGGGATCCACAAGTGAGTTCTCACCACAGGAATGTTGGGGTTCCCGAGAAGAGGAATTAAGAACTGGTGGCAGGAAAACAGAGATGACAGGAAATGGAAAAAGAGCAAGAGGCTCTGCTTATCAGTGTCTCACTTCTTGTCAGATACACAGCCTTTATACCAAGCCCTCATTTTATCCCCCGCTTCGTGATCTTGGCTTAAGTCAAATTATGAAACAATTCATTTCCTAAAATTTGAGACGG